GGGAAACACTACTTCCTCAATTGTTGATGTGGTGCTTACGTATGTCACCTCTACTTCCTAAAATATTTTCATGCCCTCAAGTCTCACAAATGCTTCAAGAAGTGGATGAAATAATCAGTGGGGTCCACTAGTAGCATGAAGTCAAGGATTTAACTGGAGTGTCAGCGTGTCCTATCTCCTCGTATGTTTACCTTAACCATCCTTGTTCACATGATACTCATATTGACTAATTCTAAAAAACCTTCAAACACCAAAAAGATCATAGTTAAGCTATTTTTTTTAAATAAAAAGTCATGTCAATGTGGTATAAAGTATTTTCAATTACCATAATTCAATTTTAATCTAAATTGCTATAATATTTGTCAGAGTGTTATAGTAAGTGTTGAAGTATAATAAAGGGAGGCTCATTATGGTTTATGATTTCCTAACAATATTTCAATTCTATCCGAACAAAAGAAGTGAATAAAGTGGAAGAAGTACTATTTCCATTACTTCCAAAAACATGTGAAACAAACAAAAAAGAGTATCACTTCTACTACATCATACTTCATAATTTAAGAAGTTACTTCTTTAATCTACTTCTTGCTTCAAAAAACTTCTCATCATCCAAACGGACCCTAAGCATATATTATTTTCTCAAATCAGTTAGTATCGCATTCAGATTTTTAGGTAAAAAAATCTTTACTGGCTTATGGTTCGTTGACACTAGATTTTCAGTCTCTCATTTGAGAATCTCTTTTAAAAGAGAAAGATTAGGATGTATTCTAGATAAAGCACTGAGTTTGGGTAGCAAAGAAGATGAAGTGGCGGACAGCAGATTTAAAGAGTAATGCATAACAAAGACCTCAGCTTCTGCTGCAAGAATATGATATTTCATTATAAAAAATTAGCTGAACTCTAGGCAGTTCCTCATGAATTGTTTTATACCCAGTCATCTTTTCATGGAATAGAATTAAAAAATCTGTCATGTTATATTCTCAAAATGCGCCTTTGACTATTTCTGTTGTTTTATGTATTTATATTCATAGATCTATATGGTTCTGACTTTTGATTTATGTGCTTCTTGAGGACCTTTGTTTTTTGATTTAATGTGGTTCTTTGCTCAAGATGCAGGTTTGGTGGGAAAATGACATGATGAAATCTGCATTGTATAGTCGGTTTTCTATGTTTGGTCCTCTTCAATATCACACATTTGCAAGCCATCATAAGACACCATTTAATATATTTCATGGACTCCCTGATTATCCTAAAAGGTTACATTCTCTTATGCACAAGTGTCATGTTCATGCAATAAGGGATGTGCATGGTGGACAATACCTTCCACCTTGGTTCAGGTGATTGTGCATAAAATATGTGACAAATATGATTAATTTATTTTAATAAAGATTCTTCAATCGACTGAAGCATAGTCCTTGCATTTCTTCAGTGTAGCTCCAATGATGGCGTATACAGATAATCATTACAGAACTCTTGCTCGGCTCATATCAAAGCATGCATGGCTTTTCACGGAAATGATCGTGGCAGAAACAATTGTTCATCAACGGGATAATTTGGTACAATTTCTCTAAGCTCCTTTCATTGAACTCTCTGGTTGAAATGAACCATATACAACAAACATTATACGGTGACAAATCTCAAATTCAACAAATTCCTATAACATTAAAGCCAAACTGGTTCTTACTATTGATAGTGTTTAACATGAGATAACTACATCTTAAGAGCTTATGCTAATGTGCCATGTTGTCATACATCTCCATATGTTTTACCAGTTTGGCAGATTCTAAATGGTTCAATGATACCTGTAAATGTTATCATGTCAAGCTCACTTTCTGGTTGTTGATAGTGGAAATTAGAGAAAATATAGAGACAATTTGTTTCTCCTCTGCACCTTTATTTGTAATAGTAGGCTAATCCAAATCCTAATTAATACATATCTCGTAGCACTGGCGATGCCTTATCACACATATTATATTTATTTATGAGCTTTCAACCTAATTTACACGTCTGCCAACCTTGGAGCTTCCTCATTGATGTTTATACTCAGAATCGACAACTTTGCTCCAGGATGGCCTACTACTTTAAGCAGTTCTTCTTTCCTGACCTTTCTGCTACCTATTCAAAGTGTGCCAGACTGACTTTAGATATTGTTCATTAGAAGTGTGCCAGACTTAAGTAATAACCTATGAAGAATTTCTTTGAAAATTTTCAGGATAGATTTTTGGCCTTTCCCTCAGAACAACACCCAATTGTCCTTCAAATTGGTGGAAGCAACTTGGAAAACCTGGCAAAGGCAACTCAACTTGCAAATGCTTATTCCTATGACGAAATTAATCTCAAGTATCTGTTGCCTGCCCCTCAAGAGCTTTATCCATGCTCATAACACTTCTTTCATTGATTGAGGTTGTTTTTGTGAATCTGTCAGCTGCGGATGCCCAAGCGGAAAAGTTGCAGGTCATGGTTGCTTTGGTGCGCGTCTAATGCTTGACCCAAAGGTTTGACCTTAAAAGCATTGTAAATTTGCATCACAATTGGTAATGACGTACTTTCATGCTTCATGTTTGCAGCTTCTTTCTTCCTTAAATTTATTTCTTGTGTGCTGTTTTCTTTTGCAAGTGAAGTTTGTTGGGGATGCTATGTCGGCCATTGCCTCCAACTGTGATGTTCCTGTCAGCGTGAAATGCAGAATAGGTGTTGATGATCACGACTCTTATAATGAACTCTGTGAGTGCTGTTCTTTTTTTTTTTCTTCTTCTGCGGTTTTAGGAAACTTACCATTTTATTTGTGTACATATTCTGTGCCATGCATATGAATAATCTATATTCTATACCTATAAAAGAACTTGGTGGATACATGCCCAAGATATCTGGCATGTTTCCAGCTGTTTACCAACTTGGAGGTTGTCAAATTTGTGGTAGGATTGTGATATTTTTCATTGATTTGTGTGATTGAGGATGTAGGTTTTTATAGGAAAATGCATTTCTACTATATATCCTTATGAATCCTGAGGTAATGCGATGCCCAATCCTGTTTTTTTCTACATGTACTTGTATAATATTAATTTGGGATCTTCATTTTCTTTTTATGATTTTGCATATCCACATATCATGTCTTCCCTTGCTCTGTCTCCGTGTACATGCAGCTTTGTCACAAGTGTTACCTTTTGTTCTGTGGAGTACGTTCCTGTTTGCAGCACTTAAGCGTCATTATTGTAGGCAATTTTGATATGGTTGTATCTAGCTTGTGTGAATGCTGTAGGTGATATTGATACCAGCTTTGAGCTGATCCCATAATGATGGAAGAAATCTTGAATGATGATGACAAAATCAAATATATCTTTATTAATGTTCCAAACGTTAATACATGTATGATCATTTTGATTGTTCCAAACTTGGTTGTTGCATAAATTTCAGGTGACTTCATAGACACGGTTGCTTCTCGCTCACCAACTAGGCATTTTATTATTCATGCACGAAAGGCATTACTGAATGGTCTCAGTCCAGCTGAAAATCGGAAGGTTCCACCTCTAAAGTATGTCCCCTTTTCTGGGTTTAATGAAAGATTTGCTTCATAAGAACGAAAATACTTTCTTGCATTGTTAGAACTTTTTCTTTTTTCCCTCTGCTGAGCCTACAGGTATTGACATAAATTCTTCAACATTTGTTTGCATTTGTGTTTTCATTTTTTCTGATTAAGCGATATAAGAGATCCATACTTTCAGGATGGTTGAGCTTCTATATAGTGCCTAACTGCCTGTGCTGAACCAAAAACAAAGCATATCAGAGTATTATTCACTGATGAAGAATAAGACATCCTTTTCACTTGTTATATTACACATTCTGTTAATAATTGTCAAAAATAGTTTGATTCTTATGGTAATAATACATATACATAAAAGTGACATGGATAATACACATTTCATGAGCAATTCCATAATAAGCCCTGGCCAACATCGTAGTTAGTAGACAGGATAATATTGTTTATGCATGTCCTTACCATACTTATGAGTTGATATTTGTCCTGGCTGATTCCAAAGTTTCTTTTTTCTACTTGATGATAGAACCCCATATTAATGTCTGTGTGTGTGTGTGTAATGCAGACGTTATATGTATAGCTTGGACGCAAATTCCAATATTTTTTTCAACACTCAACTGTCATATTGATAGTGCAACTTTTCTTCTAGATGTCAATTTAGAATCTATAATGGACATGGAATGCAATAAACAAGTTCAACACGTTTTATATTAGAATGATTCATGAGAAAATGCTTATTTTTAATTCCATAACCCCTAGGTAGAAAATTGGCCTCAGACTCTTGGCATCATGTAGACCAATCAAACATAATTTCTATCAATTGTTCGTCAACACTTTTCAGTAAGAATAATTCTTCATACCCAACTTTTTTACTGATGTGAAAAACTTAGTTGTTGTGTTGATGTTGATGATCTCAATGTTATTTTGCATTAAAAAATGGTGCTTGTTTAGTATCCAAAAAGCAAGATGCTCTTGAGTAGTTTAGTATCTGCAACCAGCAAGGTGGTAATAGAATATTGGTTTGTAATTATGTTTTGCATTGTTTAAAATAGTTGAATAGTTCTGCAGGTATGAGTACTACTTTGCGTTGTTGCGTGATTTCCCAGAAATACACTTCACCATTAACGGAGGCATCACTTGCATTGATCAGGTATATATCTTGCAGTTTGATGCAGAGTTTCATATTTCCTTCAATCTTATGTTTGGACATCAAGTAGTAGAGTTTTGTTAAATTGTTTATGGAGCCTTTGTTCCATGATAAAGCCAACCCATGACAGGAAAGTTGATAAAATGATGATATTTTCTGCCTTTGCATGTACTTTTATATATTTTATTATTATTGGTCTATCGCAATGTCTAACTCTGTAATATATTTTCAAGACTGCACCTTTCTTGTACAATGTTGCTTTTGAATTATGGAGCTAAGCTTGTTGAATATAGTTTTGACATGCAGATATTTTTCTTTTATTCTGTGTTATGACAGGTTAATGCAGCAAGAAAACAAGGAGCTTATGGGGTGATGGTCGGTCGTGCTGCATACAATAAGTATGAACTTCAACTATAACCTATATATTGGGTTTTATTGCTACTCTCTTTACTGGTATTTTTTTCCCCAGCCTTTTGTCTCAAATGTAACACATATACTATGTGTGATCCTTGTTGTAAGACATTGATGGCCAGTTGGCATTGAGAGTGCGTAGAGCTACCATTATCGTGATGTGCTTTTAAGCTCATGCAACTTAGGAAAGATAGCCGTTTTCATTTTTTCTCAATTTATATTCTTGAATCACGACTTTTCTTTAGTATTGTTGAATTGCTTTATATAGAAAAGTTAAAATGTAATTTTTTCAGCCCATGGACTATGCTGGGACATGTAGATAGCTTGATATTCAGAATGCCATATTCTGGTGTTTCACGTCGACAGGTGTGATCAAAATTGTTATGGCATATTATAGAGATTCACTCTTTTCTTCATCTAACACTTTTCTACTGTAGATCCTTGAAAAGTTTCAGGAGTATGCAGACTCTGTTTTAGGCACATATAGACCTGGCAAACCAAGTGTAAGGCAACTTGTGCAGGTTTGTACTAGAAGTCTCCTTTTTTTATGTTTATTGATTATTGATTTTTTGACATAATAATTGTTTACACTCGATCTCCAAGATCCATTGCGTCTGCACAATGTCCAAGTTTACCATATATTATATCAACAAAAGAGTATTATACTCATTCACATGTAATTGACTTGGAAATACTATTAGTGTGTCACTGTCTAGAACATTGTTGTAAGCTTGGTTTTATTACCCTTCATAACATTATCTCCTTTATTAAGGGTTTCTTTGATCATTTTCAGAAGTTTGTACCTTTCTCAAAGTTAACTGCATACATTATGTCTTTGTTTTTGCTTTTTTGGAAATTTGTATTGTTTTCCATTTTACAAACAAATATGTTCAACTATTTAGGCTATTAACCTTCTAGATTTTGACAATTTTTCATGTACATTTCGTGTTCATATTATCTTATCACTCTAGGAATTTTCTAGTGGAATATTATCTGTAAAGTGTATCATACTATGACCATAGGAAAGTAACTTTGTCAAGTTTGAGGGAATCTTTTTGTTTCAACTTTTTGTTCCTCATTACGCACATCCTTGCCTGATATTAAACAAGCGCATTGTGGCATATAGCAGTGACATCAACTGTTTTAAAGTTTTTTGCATTCTTAGTCTTTGTAGGAATTGTTTGCTTGAATCTGGCTTGGTTTGAAGAGAAACTTCATCTTTATTGAGATCCCATCAAGGCAAATCTGTAGCGACTACCGACAAATAAGCTGATGTGTGCTACGCAAGCTATATTAATACTTGACCCCTCTCCACTTTTTAGCTCTTATTTTTTAGCTTTCAGTGACTACTGGTGGTCCACGATTCATGTATTGTACACAATTTCATTTGAATGTCCTGTTGTTAGTTAGCTATTCACAATCATCTGAAATTTTGTTTCAGCCCTTATTACACTTGTTCCACTCAGAACCTGGAAATGGTCTATGGAAACGTAAAGCTGATGCTGCATTGCGACACTGCACGGTATGCCAGTGAGGTTTCCTTTCCCAAATTATTTTTGATGCTATCCATCATCTAGGGCTTAATATTATATCTCAAATGACATCTTTCCTTTTCATCCTTAATTATGGTGGGGCTATGAAAGAATATTCAAGAGAAAGGAAAATCTAGTGAAGGGAAATAAAGCGTTTCAACACGGGGATTATTCCTTTATCATCGATAAAATAACATAAAAAACCAATCACCCATCCACATAGAAAATCCATGTCTCTGCTGGAAAAAAAATTAAAATAAAAGAGAGGTAAAAGGTAAAATAATTGATATTTGTCTTTCTCTAGTAACAATGAATATTGACTAGATCAATCAGGTATCAGGAATGAGGTCCAAGGTTCGAGCACTCCCAACTACAGAGGAACGAGATTCAAGAAGAAATGCAATACCCCTTGAATGAATATTGGGGACATGAGTGATATAGATATCGTTTGATCTTTGGACCTCTTAGTCCAAGACCCCAACACCCAACCATTAGGGCACCCGCGGGAGATGATATTTGTCTTTAGAAAGCAAACAAGAAGCATTTATTATTCTGTTTGTACCAAATTGTTAAAAGGAACACAAAGTCATAATTGACTTGAAAGACTAAAGATGGTTGCAAATAACCGCTTCAAAATAATGTTGTGAAGGTTTAGGAGGCATTTAGTTCTCTGAGACAAGTCAAAGAAAGAGCAAATCTGTCTCTCAATGTGAGCTGGATTATGAGGGTAGTAAGTTGTAGAGACTAAGATAAAACAATCATGGGCTTCTACAGATTTTTCGGATTAAATACCCATCTCTATGGGTTAAAACCTTATCAAGTTGGTTTCTCCTAATCCAGCTATTTCATCTTATATTCAGTTCCAATTCAAATACAAAAATTTTCATGTCAGCTTTTCCTTTTCATGGAAATTATAACACACCTAATGGAGTACTCATGTTAACTACCTGTTAACCTAACCATTGGATCGTTATAATGCTCTTCAATGTGTCTCATGTTCCTAGCATCTCTTCTCATCATGCTAATACCAAGCTTTTTTTTTTATAATAAATATATTGATGTCCTTATTTCCTGCGGTTTTTAGTTTATTCATTGTCAGTTATTAACCCGTTTGACAGTGGAAAAGCAGTGATCAGTCCAACTAATAATGGAATCTTCAGTCTATACCTCCTTTCTATTACTCTTTGATATAAGCGTTAATTTTGAGAAGATAACACGGATGCCTTTTATTTCTTATGAGCAAATACAATCGTTAGACTTCTGCTTGATTCAATACGGATCCTATTCTTCATGATAGTGAATGCTTCTCAATTGTCACTATAAAATTTGAAATCATTTTACATTTATTTTTTCCATGTTTATTTTTGAATTTTCATTCGCCTCATCTCTTATATTATTTGTAATTTGGAAAGCAGTCATGCTCTTAAGAGTAATTGTTGTTGCAGACGGTCGAGTCGTTCCTACAGGAGACTTTAGTTGCAATTCCTGATTCGGTGTTGGATTCAACCCTTACCGAGCATCCATCTTCTGATGATGATAATTTCGCGGATGTGGATTGTTTGTTGCCGCCTCCGTATAGATCATCGACTGAACAAGAGTCTGTTTTGTGTTCGTTCTGAGGAATCGGCATTCGTTTAGTTGAACATGGAATACAGTCTTTTCTTTATATATTTATGGAAGTTCTGGATAACATTTGTCAGCGGCTGAATTAAACTGTACATATCCTATCAAATTATTCATTCATGATATTGTAATTACTTATCATAGATCAATACTTAAGATCAAGTTTCCTTAAGGAAAAAAAAAGGTTAAGATCAAGCAAACGTTGTTTTCTCACCGTCGGAAGGGAGACAGAATTTAAAAAAAAAAAGAAAAGGAATCCAAGAAATAAGATGAATGAAACCCTTCTCTTCGTGGAGTAGATTTTTTTTGTTGGCAACAGGTTAGTATATGACTATTTTTATCTTTTCTGATCTTGAATACTTGTGTATTCTTGTTGTACGGAGAGAGAAAGAGGGGTCAAAATACAAGGAAATGTCGCAATTTGCCTCAATTTTCATGATTGTTTTTCGACTGGAATCGAGAAACACAGGTGAGATGAGCTTATCCTTGGTGGAACAGTTGCAATAACGCTATTCGTATAAGTTTTGCATGTGCAGGAATTATTATTGCTAAAGAGGACACATACTTACTCATCACATCCATGCATACTATCTTTCGCAAGCTTATACATGGTGACTAAATTACTCGATGGAGCACTCGGGAGGAGTTACTTGTTCCTGGCGGTAATCATAGACCAAGTAGTTTGTTCTCCCTCACGCGCCTGAGCCTTGCAGCCTGGGTCTCATTCTGAGCCCAAGCATGGTAACTACAACAATATGCCACGAACGGCGCCTGACTCCAGTCGATTCTCCTCGCAGCCTATTGCTCACCGTTTCACAGCGCAGAGCGAACAGGTAACAGTTGGCTGCTTAAGTACGGAATTCATTGCTGCTGTGCATTCCATACAGGTGTTCTGCCAACTAACCACCCTGCATTCATAGTTTTATATGTATAATTGATTATATTACAGTATATGTAGATGAAGGAATCACTCTGAACAGAGTGGGGATCCCCCACAAAGACCAACTCAACACTTGAATTTTATTTTTAATTTTCATCTCATAACCACAAGTCGACACAATATACACACATTCAACCCCATTCAAAACACGTTTGTGAAAAGAAAAAGGGCAGTAGAGGAAAAGGTACTGCCTGTGGTTCCAAGAAATTCAAACTCCCGAAACACCCCATAGATTAGGAGTCATTACAACTCCAAGGAGTTGCTGAAATGAAAAAGCTAAAGGCCTCGAAATAGAGTCTAGAATGCTCAGAAAGGAGAGAATTTGGACATGAACTGGAACTCTTCGGTGATGCAAATACAGTCAATAGAAACTGTGTGAGATTGCAAATACAGTCAACACTCTCACCACTCCTAACCAGATACACCCAAGCTAAACAACTTGAGGACAACTACTAGAGTACCAAGACTCAAAGGTACTCTTACACCAAAACTGCTAAAGTGCCAAGACTACGTTACACCATCTTATTCAAGTTGAAACAGATAGATCGCAAAAATCGAAACCAGCAATATGAGAATGGCCATGAACAAATATTTGAAGTTAAGCTGAGTTGCTTCTATAGTCCTCACTGGCTCGAGTTGACCCTCATCTGAAGAGAGAGTTGTCTCCATGCATGTTTCAGAGCTTGATGCCGCTGCAGCTGAGTTCCCCACCTGACAATCAGTAAAGCTTACTAGAAACATTATATATTTCAGATGATAGCTTCATTTCACTTGCAAAATAATGGTTGGCAAAAAAAAAAAAAAAAAGAACTTAATGCTACTCAAGTTGAAGACTGAAAGTTAACTAATGCAATGGAGTAGTAATTCTTTCCATAAACGAAACTGATCAAAATGGATTTTGATCTTCTCAACTATCATTTAAACACAGTCATCTGACAATATTTACAATTTTATTGCAGATATAACTAACATCATACCACCCTATATTGCACTCATTTTGACTAAAACTGGAAAAAAATTATAATTTATCCATTAAATGGTGGGCATTATTATTTAGGGCGTATTCTCTTCACTAACTGCAATAGAGAGGATAAGAATCTGCTGAAAATAACTCTCAAGCAGGAAATGATATTCTGAAGCTGAAAGCACTCCTTTGTCTGAAAAAGCTAAAAGCGAGCACGTCTTTAGGTCCAAAACTGACATGGATGTTTATTGAATGAAAACATCCTAACTGAAATGGCTTTGAAATTGGTAGAATTGTAGTGTGCACAGAAGAAATTAAATGCAAACACTATATTCACAGATCATGAGCACGTGCCTGCAGAATGCATCAGTTTGAGCACAGAATGCATGCAGGTAAACTTGTGCAATCTATACAATATTCTACTAAATCACTCCAAGAACTGATAAATTAAAATAAAAAAAAGAAAGTCGAAGAGAGAGAAAAAAGTACAAAAAAGTACATGCAAGTGATACATATGAGAAAATACGAAATCTTGATTTAAACATTTGAAACTTAATTTGTTTGTTAAGCAAAGCAGTAATGGGAAAACAGACCTTAATATGTGTAATCGCAGACCCTGTTAATGTTTCCTCAGGCGTGGTATGGATGCCAAATTTGTTTCCAGCGGTTTCCTTCAGGCTTTTATTAGAGGCACTGTCCTTTGTCCTCGAGTTTTTCTTTGTCAGTAGTTTGTTCTGTTTCGTTAATGCCGATATCTGCATATGAAAGAATGAGTAAGTATAGCAGCAGATAGCTCTCTCCATTTATCTCATTATAACGAGCTTCTAAATGCATGCATGCGTTGTAGAAGCTAGTTTCTCACGTGTGCATTATACCTCATTGATTTATATAGCTAGCTTAACAAAAATAAATCAAGCTAACCAATGAAAAACGACGTGAAAGCATCAATATACTTTAATGTGTCAATGCACACTCAGCATAGGCGTTTGTTATCCACGTAATTTCAGCTACAGTACACCTATCAGCAAATTTTACTTTAGTATTATTGACAAGTAACACAGGTCTCTTTAGGGAAAACTAAATTTACATCTTATCATACCTATAGTACTCCAACACCTGAAAGAGCTACAATGGTCAGCATTTGCAGCATAAAAGGGTGTTTATTTATCCTTGTCTGTGAAACGATCATAGCAAATTATAACCACTCACTGTGGTCATGATTAAGACAAAAAAAATGTGAGCATAGAAGAGTGGCGTAATCATCCAGCACTACTCATAGATCATTTCATCTACTGATATCCATTCATTAATACTCAAGTAAGATATATGAATGACAAAAATATAATGTCAGGTTATACACCAAAAAGTTCTGAACGTGCACAATAAGTACAAATATAGACAAACGTCAAGATTTGTATTCATTATGGATCTACACATGCATGTATTTGTCTTAGATGTTAAATACAAATGCATGTACATACTAAAAAAAAGAAAGCTTATTAAGACAAAATATCATGAACTTCATTTTTTTCATTGATACATGCTTGCATGTTCCATTCTGCAGAACATATGGAAGTACAAGGATGTTCAGTAACATATGTACTATTACAAACCAGTGTATATAAGTGTTGACACATGAAAAAGTTGAACTAATAGCGTGCAAACGCGCAATTGATTAGGTCGTTATTGACTCATCCTCACCACTCACGCACACAATGCCCACCACTGTACACCACTGTTGAGCCTATAAGTGTTGACACATGAAAAAGTTGAACTAATAGCGTGCAAACGCGCAATTGATCAGGTCGTTATTGACTCATCCTCATCACTCACGCACACAATGCCCACCACTGTACACCACTGTTGAGCCACAACTGCTACGCTTGCACCGCACTTGGTTGTGTACACACAGTCATAGGTCATGCACACCATGTTCCGTTGCACCATCACTGTGCCCCGATCGGTCGCATTGCTCAATCATGGTGCTGTCCCAAAGCATGCCTACACGTGTATTGTCATTCACAGATTACGCAGGTCACACACACTGCACACCGTTCACGTTGTTACCCCATCCCAACGCTTGTCTGGTTCAGACTCCACATTCGCACACTCAGTTGCCACGATCATCATGTTCGGTTGCCACCATCGGCATCCTCGTGGGCTTCAGTCTCCACACTCACTGCGACGGTCACCGCCAATGATGTGTTTGCATGGCTTAACTTCCACACTCCATTGTCATGCTTGTATGGCACGGTTGCCACAGTTGCCAGGCGCATCAACATTGCAGTTGCAATGCTAGTTTGCCTCGGTTACATCAACTTAGAATGAAGACTAGGCAGGCGGGTAAGACAATTCTCAACTAAACCACCCTTATGAGAAGAGCCATTGCCAGAGTCTTGTGGTTTAGTCACTGCTCTCCACGCATATCCCCATCATCATTGCCACACTCATGTGGCTTGGCCACAATGGCGTAACCACATGCTCCATGCCCGACTGGAGGTGCTAGACTACGCGTACCCACGGTCATGCTCAATCAAAAGCATTCTGCAGTGCACAGTCAAGCGTTTTCGATAATACTTGGCTGAGAGAACTCGGTTGTGCATGCAAGCGTGCTGGTCACGACCAAGGCACCTTCATCGTGAGCGTGCTTATATGTGAGAGTGCTCAGTCGCCCTAATCCAGAGCACAAGCGTGTCCAACGAATGTCCACCACACCAGAATCGTGCCCACAGTCTTGGAGGGGGAGGGAAACTTCCCAAAGCCGCTCCTCTCCATGGCTCTCACATGCAATCCAACCCTCCCGCATCCTCCTTCCTATAAATAGGAACCCTTGGCTTCATTCCGAGGTGCCATTCCAAGATGAGTCAAACTAAAGAGAGTAACAGTCGTAGACTAAAGGGTTATTCCTACAGGAGACAACTAGGTTGTGTTGTACTGTGACTAGTGTCAAACTTCTTAGGGAATCGTCAGAAAGTAGGTGAGGAAACCCAAGGATTTTTTTTCTGAGTTCTAATACGCTGCCATTGGATTTTGTTAGTCCCTTATGTCATTCGAATAAACATTGATCCGTATGATGAATACCTGGAATGTTGTCCTGTCTTTTATATTACTTTCTCCTAATAGAGTCTTTTTTTGGGAAAAAAAGAGAACAATTAACAAAGAATCATGAAACTGCATCACACAGAGGTTAGGCAATATGATTTTTTTAGCAAAACAGGTCTTTCTATCCAACCATTCAGTTATATAAGGAACAAGGACATAATTAAAAGACTAAAAAAAGTCATATATGAATATGACTGAAAAATGAATTTTCAACTGGGAAACGATGTCAAACATAGTTCTAAAAGGTTCGTGAGTAAAATAGAAAAGGATATCAATTAATGTGTTGTGAAGGACAATGCTAAAGCAAGACAAAAGCCAAAGATAACAAGAAATCAAAAAGATACGCAGGCTAAAAGAGGGAGGGTAAAACTCAGGGTCACACAAAAAAGGAACTGAAAGAAGCATGTTAGCTTATGGAGGCATTACCAGTTAGCATTTAGCAATGAAAACTTTCAAGTTGCCGGCAAACCAGACAAGTTCCACAAACCCATCAAAAGCACCCAAACAATGTGTAGAACATAACCGTCAAGGAACATCAATGATCAGAATTTTCCCACGACGTGATTGATTGCAAAAGAGTCGTGTGATAATAATAAGACTATCTAAATAATCAGAAGCACCTTCTGCTTAAAATTTGACATAAATGGCTGTCTCAAGACACTTCAGAATGGATCATTTGCTTATGATAGGAAATGAAACTACACAACCTATCAATGTCACATGCAGCTAATATTGACAGGTAAAGGAGATTTTAACATCTTGTCACCTTCTTAAACTAAACATGTCAAGACCTCGAGAACACCATGAAAACGATTCAGCAGTAGATAAGTGCTAAGGATATAATGCTATATTAGGAAGGGTATATTGAAAAATATATGGTAGAGAAATAATAGGGATATAATTAGATATGAGAGACATGATTAGACATAAATGGAGGAGGAGAAGACGAGAGTAAAAGTAGGACGGAGGAGGAGAAGGAAGGCGGAGGTGGAAGAGGCCTAGAGGAGGAGAGAGGACAAGATAAGTGGATGGACATGGAGATGGAAGAGGGAGAGAGAGGAGAGAAAAGATAAAGTTTGAGGAGGAGGAGGAGCCAAAGGGTGGCAAGAGGTGGAGGATGAGGGTGAAGAAAAGCAAAGAGGTGAGAGGTTGAAGAGGGTGAAGAGATGAGAGGTCGATAATGAGGATATTTTGGGGAGAAAAAAGAGGGAGGGAGAAGAGTATAAAACAAAAAAAAAGGTGCCGTCAATAGGCTTTTTCGCACAAGAAATTGGTTTTTTGCTGTGAAGCCCCTTTTTAANACGTTCTCTTTCCATGGCCAGTTTTATAACGAGGTCACTAATGAATTTAGTTCTGATACCAATGTCCTTCGCGGCTGCTAATCTTGCATCTTCTGCCTGATTCAAAGATGCCTCCATACATTCTAGCCTATTCCTCAGGAAACGCGACTCCTCATTTAGTTCCAAATTAGTTTCCGTAAGTAGATTGCACTTAGATTCAGCACTCTCAGCCCTACTTTCAGCCTTTGAAACTTTTCCTTTAAGATCATCAATCAAATTTCCCATATCACTGAGAGCAGAATATAACATACTCTGTTGTTCCTCAATTGCCTCAACAGAGGCCTTTGCATGCTCCAATCGTGTATCTGATTCCTTTAGCTTTCTCTCTAAAACATTTGCATTCTCTGATTCACTACTCCTAAGTAACTTGAGTTGTTCATCAAGTTCGTGATTAATTTTTGTTACTTGTGCACACTTCTCTTCAGCACTCTCTGCCCGGCTTTCTAGTCTCAAAACATCTTCTTTGAGACACTTGATTGTATTTTCCATGTCACTGATTTCAGCATTTAAATTATTTCGTCGCTCACAACTTGATTCAGCAGAGCCCTTTGCTATCTGCAGCTGAGTATTAGATTCCTTTAACTGTTCCTCAAGCTTTCTTACCTTATCTCTCAAAGATAAGGCCTCAAAATTGGTAAGTTTGTTTTCATCCTCAGCCTTTTGAAGGTTAGCTTTCAAATCACCTTCCTGTAACTCTTCAGCATGTGACTTTTTTGCGCTCTCCTCCAACTTAGATCTCAGCTTACCCTCCTCAAAGATTGAACCTTTTAAACTTAACTGCACAATCTGGACTTTTCCTGAAAGTTCTCTTGAAATCCCAAGAAGTATTTCAGCTGCATTTTCAGCTTCAAACGTTCTTTGGAGAATCATTTCAACTGATTCTTCCAAGTTGTATATTGTCTGCTCAGCATAATGCAATTTCAATTTGAGTTCATCTTCATTATGTGTGGATTCAGACAGCTTCTTCTCAAGATCTAGTTCCCTGGCCAAAGATTTCTCTAACATTTGTAGAAAGTGTCTTTGCTCATCCTTTTGCTCCTTCCAATCAGTATTTACAGATGAGTGTGCACTAATATCCATTTCAATATCAGCACCAGTACCTGTTCAAATGCATGCATTAGAAATAGAGCACATGCACACATTGATAACTGGCAGAAATGAAGAGCAAGTACCTGTGACTTACAAGTTCCAAACCCAGCAAAGGCCAGGTCACTTTCAAACTTGACAGAGCGCATTCTTATGTCAGCAACTATATCCTGCGTCTTCTTTAAAGATTTTTCAAAACCTTGCAGCTTTTCTTCTATTTTTGAGGAAAGATCTTCAGACTGCACATTCTCTGAAAGTTGTTGCCCCACATCCATGATATCAACTTGGAGAGAACCCACAAAATCATCAAGCTCTTTGACCTCTGAGTTCAATAAACCAGACAAAATATAAAATTCAAAGGCTTTCTCAACAGTCTCAGCTGAGAGTTCTTCCTCATTCTCCATACTCAGAGCTAAATAATCACTTGCTACATCTTCAACTTGTATCGAAAGCATCTCCAGGTTCTGTGCCTTTTCAGAAGAATATGCCACATCATGTTCAACTCTTGGTAGAACCTCCCAAGCAGTAGCTCTTCCGCTCATGTTATCTTTATTAGGTGATATGTCCTCTCTTCTTTCATCATAATCACCATCAACGGCCATGGTATGGTTTATTCTCAGCCTGTGCATCATTGACATAAAGCTCATGAAATCTGTATAGTTAATAGTGAATAGCAATCTAATCAAGTTTGCCCTGACATAAAGGTAATAATTAGGAAAATAAGTATGCAGTAATATGAACAGATATAGAAGGCAAAATTATGAAAGCTGAATCATATCATATTGCTCCGACATCTAATCAAGAAGCTTACAAAATAGAACATAATAATATAATACTCGTGTAAATGGTGAAATAACATATACTTTGACATCTGAAAAATTCTTAATAAATAAGAATTCAAAAAAGAGAAGATTACTACCAATGGCGGAGCCAGGGGGCCAGGGGTGGCCTTGGCCAGTTTTGTGCCTAATATTAATGTGTAGGACAATAAGTATTACATATTAGACCCTTAAATCTTTCATATTTTGAAATTTCTCCCTCAACTTTCTTGAATTGCTATTAGGTTCCCCAATTTTTAATTAGTTTCCAACAATCCCTTTAATTACTCCCTCAACTTATTGGAATTACTCCCTTTCGAATTGGAGGGACTAATCTCAACATAATTCAGTTAATATTAACTGCTTTGAGGGACTTATTTAAAATATTTAATATTTAATGGAATGATATTGAAAAAAAATCTATTTAAATAAAATTATTTGTACAAGCAGTATACTTAAATTGAGGGCAATTGTGTGATACAAAGAAAAATAGTTTTTGGCCTATGGATGAGAATGACTAAGTGGTAGGTTTGTGGATTAAAAAGACTAAGTAGCGCAACTAAAAAATTAGTTAATATCATTTTCGACCATCCCAATCAACACAACAGCCTTCTTTTTTTCTTTTCTCAAATTATATTTTATAGTGTTTTAAGTGAAATAGAACATCTCCATTGAACTCATTTCTCGAGTATTGTGGGTTTGCACTATTGTTTAAAATGTTGGGACTCTCTGCAAGTTATTTTAATTCCATGCTTTCCTTTATTTGTAGTTATAGCAATTTCAAATGGGTTTCTAATTCCTTATCTCTGTGTAATTATTTTACATTTAACAATAGAATTATAAAATGAGCTTAAAAATTTTCATGGTTTTTGCATTTCGAAGGGAATTGTGAAATGAGGTTATTCTAATTTTATCAAATTTTACATTAAGAAATAGATAAGTGAAATTATATAATCTATAGTGTATTGTCAATCTGTCGTGTCTTCAAAAGATTAGAAATTGAAAATTATGATAGTAACGAAACCAACTACAATTAATGTATTTAAAAAAATATTTCAAAAGATTGGAGCATGTCGATTCATGATCAATGAATATGGTGAAATAGTTCAAATATTCAAATGTTTTTTTAAAAGAGGGAATGATGGTTATGAGGTGACGGCTCATTTAGCAAAATGAGCTACAAAGACATAGAGTGACGAGGTCCACACCTTTCGACGTGACTAATAACGTGGGTCTCACCACAGGGCTATCTCTTCATAGCTCATCTAGCAAAATGAGCGGCCACTAATACCCATTATTTTCTTTTATAAGGGAATGATGGTTACGAGGTGATAGCTCATTTAGCAAAATGAGCTACCATAGAGATGTCAGTCCACAAATATATCTCAGGTTCTTGTTTTACCTACTACTTACATATATGAAAATTATATTATACATTGCTATATTTGATTACGTTTTGTGAATCTTAAAAAAAAAAAGCCAGAAAACAAACAACCAAAAAAAGGAAGAAAGAAAAAGAAAATTCTGCCTCCGCAAATGATTGTTATCCAATCAATGAATTCAAAAGTCTGTTGCTTAACGCAAAAAAGAAAGATATTAGTTACAAAAAGAAAGATAAAATTCCACCATGGGATTTGGGTTTCTTCCTCCTAGGGGGCAAAAAAAAAAAGAAAAAGAAATTGCTATATTAGAAATTTATAGGCTATCTCGGTGAATTAAAGATGAACTGACTACAACAAACGAAGTGAAGCAAGACAGAATCCAACGAGAATTTCTAAAAACCAATCTATCCAATTAAAGTAGCAAAAAAAAAAAATTCGATTTTGGAATCTCACCAGAGAGGCAAGCAAAATGGGCGTAGTCGAAGCTAATCGAAGACTCGTCAGAGAGGCAAGGCGAGCGGTGGTCGAACGAGGAGATCGATCGATGGAATCGATCGATGGAATCGTCGAGATCAGCGATGAGGGGATTTGGGCATCGTCGTGTTTGATGACGTGCCACTTTAATTAGTTTATGGGTTATTTAGATCGTGGTCCCACAAATCTTCAGTAGCTCCGTATTAGTCCGTAACAAATCTTTGAGATTGCTTATAAGCCCCTCAAATCTTAAGCTTTGAGCAATTTGGTCCATCAATGACCAAATTGCCCTCCCCTTCTCCTCCTCTAACCTGAATCCTAAATGTCCAAATCCAACTCTAGTTGTACCCCTCTACTCCCTTCGACCACCTTCCATACTCACACTCTTAAACTCATAATAACCGACACTGATTTCTTAACGTTCCTATCTCAATCCAGCATAGTAGAGAGGAGAAGAGATAAAATGATGTAGAATGCACTGTGGATATATTTATGGAGAAACAGGACCTCCAAAAGCCCAAACGCCAGCCCAACCAAGGGAAATAGTTTGCGACGAAGAACGGGTCGTATCTCTAGTTGTACCCCTCCCCTTCTCCTCCTCTAACCTGAATCCTAAATGCCCAAATCCAACTCTAGTTGTACCCCTCTACTCCCTTCGACCACCTTCCATACTCACACTCTTAAACTCATAATAACCAACACTGATTTCTTAACGTTCCCATTTCAATCCAGCACAGCAGAGAGGAGAAGAGTTAAAATGATGTAGAATGTATTGTGGATATATTTATAGAGAAACAGGACCTCCAAAAGCCCAAATGCCTGCTGTTGATGCTCGTTATCAAACAACCAAATAATCCCGAAGAGGATGGTTGAGGGGTGATGAAGGAAGATGGAGGGCCCGCTCCCTTCTCCGATTTTATACCTAGTTCTTGAACAAGGGTTTATTGCCGGTTCCCCCGTGTTTCCTCCGACGGTCAAGTCAGTTGATAAACTTAAGCTTGAGTGGAGTATAGAACTACGTGTTCTTATGCTATGTGAATTGGAGATGATCATCTCTCAGATTGGGTCAAGAGGAAGATTCAGATCGCCTTTTTTTGCTTACCTCGCTCTGATGGTCAATAATATCCATATATAGAGTAGATCTCCTCTGGCAGATTCATTATTTCGGCCATGTAGAATGGCGGTGATCAAGTGTGAGCTGGGAGGTGAGTCATCCCTCGCTTTACAGGCATCGGCTGGTGACCGGAGGGGAAGTCATCTCAGCATGGGAGAGGGTGTCTCCGCGACATCCGGAAAGTGACTTGTGAGTTGTGACAGAAGTCACGTGGGCATACTGAGTCGTCCCTCACTTTACAGATGTCGGCTAGCGACTGGAGAGGAAGTCGGTTCATTATGGGAGAGAATGCCTCCGTATTTTCTGGGAAGTGATTGAACTGACAAGTCATGGAGGCTTATTGGGCCAAGATCTGGATAAGGCTTGTCCGAGGTGGATCGGGATGTCGACATGTGCTCTGGGGGAGAGTCTTGAGGCTGGGGTTGAGTTCTCAACTTAGTCGACAACATGGAATGTCCCTCCAGTCGTTTCTGAGAAATGCCCAGTGAGTTCTCAACTTAGTTGACATAATTGTGGAAAGTTTGGTCACTTCAAGGCAAACTGTCCACAAGAGAAAGATAAGGGTGATAAAAAACACCTAGAAATACTGGATCTAGCAAGAGGGAATTTATCTGTGCAGTTTAGTGCAACGTTGCATGATGTAGGACGCTTAACAGATAATTTCATAGAGGATTCAGACAATCACGAGCTAAATACAGATTTATACGTATTATTAACTTTCGCAAAGAAACAATCATATCTTCCAACCCAGAAGACAGATTCTGACATATTATATATGTAAATCGCCTATCTCGACGAGACGGAGCCAACTAGATTGTCAGATTTTTAAAATCCCATTAGTAATACCTAGTTTTGGATGAAATCCGAAAATAATCAGCTTTTAGTTTATTTTTAGTAATAAAGTTGGAGTCTATTTAGATTAGAAAATAAATTCAATATTAGAGTCAAATTAGATTAGGAAACAAATTCAATTTTGATTCATGATTCATTTCCTCTATTATAGGGAGTCTTTTTAGGATAGAATTTGATACTTTTTATTTTTTTGTAATTCTAGTCTTACTAGGAGTCTTATTTATTTTTCTATTTAAGAAGAGTCATGTAACCCCAAAGAATAATAATTTTTCATCAATAATTTTTTTTTTTCAATATTTTCTTCGTGGATTCGGAGATCATTCTTTGTGGATTCAGATAACACCCCTTGGTGGATTCCGAGATTATCACTTTCGCGTTGCGTTACTGCAACAACTGACATATATGGTTGCTGGGTTGACTTAGGTGCCACTCGATACATTACAAAGACTAAGGAGAGACTGATTCACTTCAAAGAGCTGAAGAAAGGAGAACAACGTATTTATATAGGGAACAACACCTATCTAGATGTAGAAGGTATTAGTTCCTACAAATTAGACCTGGGAGATAGTGTCATGATTCTAAAAGATGTGTTTTATGCACATGGCATAAGGCGCAACTTGGTGCTAGCTCCTGCTATGCTAAATAATGGTCTGGAGATTATGCTTTATAATAATAGGGTCTCAATTGGAAAGGATAAAAATGTGTATGCAATGGGTAAATTAATGCTCGAACGTGAATTATTTTGTCTTCCTGTTGTGAAATCTGATTTGATTAATAAGAATGATGTTTTGAATTATTCATTGCATTTATTGTCTGATTTTGATCTTTGGCACAAGAGATTGGTTCATCTTGCTAATTTTAAAATACATGAAATTATTAAAATGAACATGTTACCAACTCTGACATGTGTGAGAATATCACCCTGTGAACATTGTTTGATTGGAAAAATGAATAGAAAGCCATTTACAAAGGGTCAAAGGGAAAAAGAGTGGTTAAAATTAATTCATTCAGACATTTGTGGGCCATTAAGTGTAAGGACCCACAGTAATAAGGAATATTTTATTACATTTATAGATGACTATTCAAAATTCAATTTTGTTTATCACTTGAATAAAAAGTTTGAGGCTTATGAATGTTTTAAAAGATATAAAGCATAAGTGGAAATAAATCTTGGGAGATTCATAAAAATAATAAGAACTGATAGGGCTGGTGAATTCAATTCAAAAGAATTTGACAACTATTGCATTCAATGTGGAATTGAAAGGCACACAATAATGCCTTACATACCACAACAAAATGGCTTTTTGGTCGAAAGGAAAAATAGAACATTGATGAATGCAGTATGGTGTATGTTGTCTCATTCTGGGCTCTCCAAAGCTTTTTGGGGAGAGGCAGCTTTAAGTGCGAATTACGTGTTAAATAGAATTCCCATAAAATCAGCTTCTTTGATACCATTTGAACTTTGGCATGGATATAAACCCTCCCTAATTCATCTAAGAAAAAGAGGTTGCACAACTCACATCCTCATCCCAAGACACGTTAGAGACAAGTTGGATTTTCAAACCATAAATTGCGCGTTATGGGATATTCAGAAAAATCTAAAGGATATAGATTTTCCATGAGGTAAAAGGGATCATTGAAAGTAGAGATGCTACTTTTTTAGAAAATCTAAAGAAATGTAAACAAGTGCAAGAAGAAGCTCCTCATCTACTTGTATTAGATGATGTTTTCAACGATGACTCGATTGACAAAGATGACTTTGATCATCCAATCATAGAAAATGAACCCGTACATCAGCAAATACCTTTGGAAAATGATGCAAACAATGATGTGCAACATGAAAATCTAATCGGCAATAAAAGACCTAGAACTCAAGCTGCTTGGATGGATGATTATTATTTATATTTATGTAAAACATCATGTTTTCAGTGGATTATAATATTATTGATCAGATTGACCCTCTGAATTATAACAATGCAATGAAGTCACATGAGTCACATTCATGGCTCGAAGCTATGCAACAAGAGATTGACTCCATTGAGAAAAATCAAGTATGGGAGTTATGCGACTTACCAGAAAAGAGAAAGTCCATAGGATGCAAATGGCTGTTGGAAAAGAAATATCGTGGTGACGGATCTATTAATAAATTTAAGGCCGAGCTAGTTGCTAAAAGTTTTACCCAAAAAAGAGGTTATAGATTATCAAGAGACTTACTCTCCAGTAGTAAAATTTGCATCCATAAGAATTATTTTAGCTATTGTTGCCAATCTTGATTTAGAACTTTATCAAATGGATGTCAAGACATCGTTCCTCAATGGAGAGTTGAGAGAAGTCATATACATGAATCAACCTTAAGGTTTTCAAGTCAAAGGACAATAAAATAAGGTATATAAATTAAAGAAGTCCTTATATGGTTTAAAATAATCATCTAGACAATGATATCTCAAACTTCATAGCACTATTGTTTGAAAGCACTCTAGTGCCACTAGGAAAGAGCTCTAGAGGAGGGTGAATAGGGTTTATGCTAATTTAATCTGATTTTATGCTAATTAAAACTAATTAACAAATATATCCTAGCAAGAATGATATATTACAAATATATGTGCAATGATATGCAAGTAACACAAGGGTAAACAAACTACTAAAGTGATAGGGCAATATAAATAACAAGCAATCGACAAATGCGATATAAATGATAAGCACGAATATAAAAGAACGCCAATGACTAACACAAACAAACAATATGATCACGGAGTTTGGTCCCCACGACCTACGTCTCCGCTCCTCACCTCGAGGAGATCTTCACTATCACAACCGGGTTTTCAACGCTCACCCGAACAATGTTTATACCTCACAATACGGTTTTCTAGTTTACCGAAAACTTTACAATCACTTATAATGTAAACACATTAACTACCATCTCAAGTGTTGGTCTCTAAATCGTGTTTCCCTCAAGTGTTAGGAATTAAAACCTCTCTCTAAGCATTACCACCTATCTCACTTCTCTTGGGACGACCCCGTCTCTCACCACACACTCCTCTTAGTGTACTAGTGTAATACAAAGTAAACCTCACAATTAACGCTCGATACAACAAATGTTTGTTCTCTAATATGGATGAGAACACAATATAAGCTCACACTCTAAGTCACTAACCCACAACCCCAATTATACAATGTATAAAAAT